CATCTTTTTTTTTTTTTTTTTTTACAGCAATAGTCAGTCACATAACTGAAGTGATCTTTGGCCATCATCTTTCCTGGATTGCCTTGCATTTCTCCTTATGACTTGTATCTGCTTTCACAGGCTAACAACTGACAAAGATATTGTGGAAGTACAATTACACTGGCAACTTATCTTTAAAAATGTAGATTTTTCAACCTATGCTATGAGCAAATAAAAAGATTCAGTTTTTCATGTGGCTGTGAAGTCTGACATATACCCAAGGAATGCGGGTTTGCATGGAATGTATAAAAGCTAACAGAAATGTTTTCATGGCATTTTTAAAAATGAATTTGAACAGTTAGACTAGTATATTAACTCAACAACTATAATTACCTTGTTCGTCTACAACAACTCTAAGTGGAAAACTGACTTAAATTTTGCTGTCACTCATTACGAACAAGTAAGAGAATCTAATTAAAACCCAAACAGCAAAACAAGGAGGATAAGGATTTCTAAACCATGACCCATTTTAGTTTGATTACACTAGAAGGTACTTTCACAGAAGTCTACCAAAAAGGTAGTTTAACAACATAGTTAATCAGCTCTCTCATTTGATCCAAATCTTACATTTTTTAAATAGAGGATATCTATGTTTCTTTAATAAGCTTAATCATGAATGTGATCTTGTACTATAGAAATAATTCAGCTACACAAACAAGGCATTAGCATAAATGGAGCATAGCCACAGACTACCAAACTAATCTCACTGGTAGCTAAAAGCCTAAAATCTAGGTTAAAAAAAAAAAAACAACAGCCAAGAAATTAGGATTTACTGCTCATTGCACTTGCCATCAAAAATAGTTTTAAAATATTCCTGCTAACTTGCAAGAGAAACCTATTTGTGTAAGTTATTAATTGCAGTTAAGGATGAATCAACAATATTAAAATATTGTGCTGTTTTATTGGTGTAAAAATCACACAATTGCTAGTTCTGATTCTGCTGAGATACATCCATGCAGTTTAACATCTATGATCCCACAGCCAGAAGAAGCTATTAAATAGAATATCTGCTGTTAGTCAGCAATTAATGCAAATTTACATATGAGATCAAAATTTGCGTATCATACAATATACAACAAATCCTAATACAGTACATCAACCTGAAGAGCAGGATACACTCAGGGAACTCTCTGTTAATAGTGAAGCCTGTATGTGTCAGAAGAATAAGGCCAGGAGACAAGATGACAAAAAGGTAACCCAGGAGTCCTAAGAAGCAAACTTTAATTTTTTTTGGCTGGGAATTAGAAGTTCATAGAGGTATTGACACATTACTTGACAATACAATCTGTTACAGTAAGGACTGGTGGATGTGATCTGTTAATAAAAGGTAATGTGTGAAGCATGCAGTTACAGGTGGTGCTCAGGAAATGTGCAATCAATATACCAAGAATTAACACCCAATTCTTTCACAAAAGGGATCACTGAAAAAGATCCGTTAGGTATAGTATCAATTGTACCATTAAGTCATTTATATGCATGCGGCAGAATCAGGATCATGAATGGACAAATGAACACCTGGCAATCTGGGGTCACATTGTAGAGTACATAAGAAAACATGAAATAACCAAATGTACTTGATATGGCAAGGTAGCCTGCAAGAACTCTGGCACCCAGAAGGATCTGGTTTATTGCAAGAGCAGGCCTTCTGGAATTGTGAATGACTTGCTGAATTGTGAAAGGTGGCTTGGGCAGTAAATTTTGATTGATGATAACCAGGGTAGATCCAGGAGGGTGCAGTGCTACAGATGCACCTCCTTCAGTCAACACTGTAGAAGCAGAAGCCTGGGACACTTAAGTCCCACAATTGGGTAAGAATACTCTCCTCCTGTCCCCTCCATGCTCCCTCCCCTTCCTTCTCCCCACTCCTTGCTGCTGTTATCTCCAGTTACCCTGGGAACAAGGGTTTGGAGAGGCTCCAGAGTCACTCCTGCCTGCTCCAGCTGTGCCATAATGGAAGCCAGGCTCAGTTATGGACAGCAGCAGAGGCAGTTCTCCTGACCCTGCATAGCCCCCCATGGTGTTTCCTGCCAGCCCAGGAGCAGGCATGGGAGAAGGGAACCTGTCCACTGCTACCCCTGACTGGGCCTGGCTTCACGTACAGGAGAGGGATGGCTGTGGCACTTACCCCATCCCCCTTGGGTCAGCTGGGGACAGCAGAGACAGTGGCTGCAGTGAGTGATGAAGGGGTCCTGCCTCTGCACAGAGGGGAAGGGAAGGGAAAGAGGATTGTTACCCGATTGAAGAACTAAAAGTCTCAAGCTGCTGCAGCCACGGTGTGGTCTAACTGCCTGGGCAGCAGTGGAGGGGTGAGGAAGCTGGGAGCAGGGGCTGCACCCACACCTGCAATACTGGTCACTGCTCCCTTAACCCCCTTTTAAAATCCCTTAAGATAACTTACTAGTTTTTCCTGTATTAAACCAATGTTGCATTTTAAGGATGTATATATGGTATATTATGTGCTTTAATGTTAAGAGTTAACTAGCTAGTTATCCTCTTCTCTAAGTGTGTTTTGTGACATGAAATATAGAAACAATTCTGAAATTCCAGTTTGAAGTTTTGGCCACTGAAACTGTGCAAATAAATCCAACATATTGTTAAGAAAAATGGCAGGGAAGGCAGTGCCAAAATACACAACATTCAAGGAAAAGATTGTGATTCTTTTTGTATTGAAATTAAGAAAATTAAATACATTAGTGAAAAAACTGGACAGAACATAACCACAAAATGTAATGTTCAATAGAGTGCATTGAGCTGAATGCATGGATCTTTGAATAGGCTTTAAACCCAACCCCCCTTTCAAAATTAGTAAGTTCACAGTTAACGGCAGTTGGCTTATAGGTGAGAAAAGGGTCGAAGCTGTTCCAGTTGAACTTCTAAGGAGATTCTCTCTTCAAGAACATCCTAGAAAAGAAGGATATTTTTATTTAAAGTTCAAGTGAAATACCAGGATGAAAAAGAAATTCCGCCTGTAGGTAAAATTGGGCAAACTGTCAGTTTTGGTCACCAATTTATAATTTTTCTAAGTTTTGGAAAGAGACTCTTTCCAGTTAACTGAAATAACTTCTATCTAGTGAATATTCTTTATTTTTAAACGTTTAATATGTTTAATTAAAATGATTCTTAAATGATTCTGTGTATTTTGTACTTAATTTCATAAAAAACCTTTTCAGGATTTGATTTCTTACCAAATGGTGAAAAATATCACAATTGCATCTCTAAATGTGTTGCTTCCAAGGCACTTCCAATTACCTTTTGTTTGGAACAGTGATATCAAATACAGATATCAGTCATCTCTTCTCTTGATTCTGCTGTAGTTTCATAGT